TACGTCTTCTGGAGTATTTGTCAGACTTGTTTTTCCTGTAAACTGTCCGCCCATCTAGTCTGGGGACGACTTGTCGATCATGTTGTGAGACTTTTGACTATTTTTTATATTTTCATTTTCTCCGCCCTTGAGCCGCCTGTAGGAGGACCTGCCCGACCTGAGCCTGGGGCGCTCCGCCACCCGAGGCGGCGCCGGGGTTCGGGGGCGGACAGACCCCCCAACAGTGACACGTCGATTCGTGAATCGTCCGTTGTCGGCTCTCGGGAGGGCGCCGCGGCCGCTATTTTCCAGGCTGGCGCCCGCCAGGTTTGGGCCCCTCAGGTCGTTTTCACTAGACCACGTTTTACCAAAGGGGGGTCCGTCCATCCCCGGCTCCGCCCGTCGATCTCCCGAATGCCCCCGGAGACCCGCAGAAGTCCCGGAGCACCTCGGGAGGGTCCAACGGTCGACAACGACTGCGCCCTGGCCTTCCCAATTCTACAGTCTCGACTTCCGTGGCAAGTCGTGGGAGCCTTGTGTGCCCTCGCAATTCTGCCTCTAGCGTCGACTCGCGTCGATTACTCCAGATTTCGTAATAAAAGGAAGGGGGTCTCAACCCTCCCAGACGAGAGGTTTTAGACCCCCCCCCGCGGGAGAACCCTCCAAAACATCGTCCCCAGACCCCCCCAGGCCCTCCAAGATAGCCTGGAAGAGACCCCCCCCCGAAATGAGACCCCCCTCCCTTTATTACGAAATCTGGAGTAGCGTCTGGGAATCGATGAGATAGCGCCGATTTAGCGTCGGTGATGGTCGATTAGCGTCGATTTAGCGTCGATTAGCGTCGACCAGCGTCGACTAGCGTCGATTCGCAAGAGCCGATAAGATGGTATGGGAGGCTCCCGTGAGTTGCCCCCGAACAAGACGCTGAAGTAACGACCACTTGGGGCTCAGGAGGGTCTATGGCTTTCTGGCCTCTCCTGAGCCCCAGGTCGGGGAGTCTGCTCGGCGCAGATTCGCGCCGTGGGCCAGAAAGAGCCCCTTTATTCCTTACTCAGCGTTCCCTATGGTAGCACGATGAACGTACACGTGCATGTACATGTACATGCAATCGAGAAGCTACATGTGTACACGTACATCTGTATGCACGCGTGCTCCGAGTTCTGTATATGTATACATATATGCATGTTTGCATGCATCTGTACATCTACGTATTTGACATGTGCATATGCATATGCTCATGCATAGTCGCATATGCACACATCTATGGACGCATCGTGCTTACACGCACGCATGCACGCGTGTGCATGTGTGCAGGCGTATGTGCACATGCGCGCATGCTGCCTGCCTGCGTGCCTGTGTATGCCTGCCTGCCTGCCTGCACGTGTGCAGATGCGTCTGTCCGTGTGCGTGCGTGTAGGTCCGTCGGCCTGCAGGCCTGCCTGCCTGCCTTTCCGCGCGCACGCACGCTCGCACGCGTGCCTGCCTGCCCCCTCCGCGCGCAAAACCGTGTGCTGCCCCGGCGGAGATGAGATGGGCGACGGAGGGTGCCGCGGCCCCGCCCGGCCGCGTGAGCCGCGCGCCCGCGCCGCTGGACGAACAAAAAGGGGGGCGTCGCGCGGGAGGCGGCGCGAGAGGATTGAGTAATTGTGACAGTTAGTAGGGGGAGTAGGAGATTAGGAGGAGGAGGAGGAAGGAGGAGGTATGAGAGGAGGAAGATGAGGAGAGGAGGAGGAGTGAGTAGGAGGAGATGGAGGAGGAGGAGGAGAGGAGGATAAGGAGGAAGGGGAGGAGTAGGAGGAGGAGAGGAGATGAAGAGGAGGGGGGGGGGGCAAGCTAGTGCGCTCGCGTCACATCTGACGTCCTCCCCCTCCCTCCCATCCCTGACCACGGCGCAGAGCTCCCCTCCATTCGCACAGTCGGATGTCGCAGCATGGCATAACATTACATGCCATAGCATGGTGTTGGATATCAACGCGTAGCATGAGAAGGGGTGGGGAGGGATGGGGGGGGGGGGGGGACGAGCGTCCAGGGTCAGGGAGTCGGTGTCCCAGCCCCCCCCCTCTCCCCCATCCTTTCCCCCCTTCACCCCCCGTCCTCCTGTCCCCCGCGCCTCTCCTCCCCTGGCTTCCTCCTGGCGGAGGGAGGGAGGGAGGGGGGAATGAGGTAGGGAGGGAGGACAGGAAGGAAGGGAAGGGGGGGAGGGAAGGGAGGGAGGGAGGGCAGCGGTGAGGAAGGGAACTGGTGAGCGAGGGAGGGATGGGGTAATGAGGAGGATGAGGAGGAGGGTGAGGATGAGGAGGAGGACCAGTGCAAGCTGACGTATCAACGATGCTGCAATAAATTCTCTCTCCACGTTCCTTCTCCATAATGCCCTCGAATAATTTGTTTTGATTGCAGGAAGTGCCCCATGGAAAGACAACCGTTCGAGAATCTTCAATCTTGCAATCTTGCCCAAACGCAACTCCTGGCATTTCAGCGCGGCAAATCTACTTGGCTGCCGCGTCCGGTCAAGCCTAAATCGTGCCAGAGCACCATCCTTTGGTTTTCAACGCTGCGAATCGAAATGAATGTCGCGTCCTGAGAATCTCGAGTTGTGCCAGGGGCTCTAACCATGCGAATCCGTGAAACTGTTGTAATCTTTGAAGACGGATGTGTGCGGCGCTAAGGCGATGACCACATTTTAAGAAGGAGCCGCCCTCCATTCTTGATATTGTTGCTAGCTTATAAGACGGATGTGCGCGGCGCTAGGGCGAGAGCCACATTATGAAAAGGATTTACCCTCCATAATTAAAACTGTTGCAAACGTTCAAGACAAAATTGCGCGGCGCTAAGGCGAGAGCCACATGTTGAAAACCACCCGCCCTCAATTCTTGAAAGTGTTGCAGGTTTCAAGCTTCAGGATTATTACTTGTGAGGAAGTCTCAGTCGAACCGCCCGGCCCGCCCTACCGACCCGTCTGGGTGTGCGACAAGGAGGAATTCTTTCTAAGGAGGAGGTGGAGAGGTGGAGGAGGAGGTGGAGTAGGAGTAAGAGTAGGAGTAGGAGCAGGGGTAGGAGTAGGAGTAGGAGTGGGAGTAGGAGTAGGAGTGGAAGTGGGAAGAGGAGTGAGAATAGGAGTAGGAGTAGGAGTGGGAGTGGGAGCAGGAGGAGGAGGAGGGGGAGGAGGAGGAGGAGGAGGAGGAGGAGGAGGAGGAGGACGAGGAGGAGGAGGAGGAGGAGGAAGAGTAGGGAGCGGAGGGTAGAAGGGGGGAGGCCAGGGCGAAGAGGGACGGACCCGGGGAGCGTGGAAGGGCAGCTGGGAGGGACTCCGAGCCAGTTCCCCCCCCGACTTCCCCAGGTCTTTCTCGGCCTCACCCAGCCCTTCAAGCCCTTCCGCCCAGCCCGTCCGAACTCCGAGCCGGCCACCCCCTCTCCTCCTCCTCCTCCGGCTCCTCCTCCTCCCTTCTCCCTCCTCGCCACTTCCTCCCCTCCTCCTCCTCCTCCTCCTCCTCCTCCTCCTCCTCCTCCTCCTCCTCCTCCTCCTCCTCCCCTCCTCCTCCACCTCCTCCTCCTCCTCCTCCTCCTCCTCCTCCTCCTCCTCCTCCTCCTCCTCCTCCTCCCCTCCCCCCCCTCCTCCTCCTCCTCCTCCTCCTCCTCCTCCTCCTCCCTCCTCCTTCCCGCCTCCTCCTCCTCCTCCTCCTCCTCCTCCTCCTCCTCCTCCCCCTCCTCCTGCCTTCTCCTCCTCCTCCTCCCTCCTCCTCCTCCTCCCACCTCATCCTCCTCCTCCTCCTCCTCCTCCTCCTCCTCCCTCCTCCTCCTCCTCCTCCTCCTCCTCCTCCCCCCTCACCCTCTCAGGTGGCGCCGCCGCGTGCCCCCGGAGGGCTGCGCAGCACACTGCAAGCCACCGACCGCGCACGCGTGCGACGAGCCGCAGTCCCTCCCCACGCCCAACTCCGAGCCCGCTCCTCCCAGTCCTCCCGAGTCCTTCCCGCCCCAAGCCAGGCAGGGCCCGTTTCGATCCGATCGATCCGGTTCGAGGCCAATTTTGGCCAGCCCGATCCGATTCGACTCTGGTAGCCTGACGATCCGCTGCGGCCCGATGCTTGCATGGCACTGTTGTGAATCCTGGCGCAGCCTTTCCGATGCGATCTCGACGTCGTGCCAGCCGATCCGACGCACATTTCGGTTCGGTCCGACTTCCCGGTGCGCGATGCCGAGTGCTTCTGTCAGGCCCTCCCACCTCCTTCCCAAGATGGGAGCCGACATGGCGCCACCAGAGATCCGATGCTGTTCTTCAGTAGGGGGAGGAGGAGGAGGAGGAGGAGGAGGAGGAGGAGGAGGAGGAGGAGGGAGAGGAAAAGGAGGAGTGAGGAGGAGGAGGAGGAGAGAGGAGGGGGAAGGAGGAGTAGGAGGGAGAGGAGAGGAGAGGAGAGGAGGAGGAGGAGGATGAGGAGAGGAGGAGTGGAGACCAGGAGGAGGAGGAGGAGGAGGAGGATGGGGCATCCACAGGGAAGTCCCGACCCTTTCCCCAGGGCCGGTGGCTCATCCCGAGTCGTGTTTTGGCAGTCCTGGGACCCGGCGAGGCGCCCCCGAGGCCGACGGCGGCGACAGACAGCCGTACTGCTTCCCCCCCCCAACGCGCCAGAGGCCTTGGGCGGCGGAGGGGCCAGGCCGACGTGGCGCCTCCGAGGGGGGCCGCCGCCGAGGGCACCGCCGAGGGCAGCAGCCGAACTCGGCCAGGCACAGTTCGGCCAGGCCACACTCGGCCCAGGCCGAGGTCGGCCTTTGGCCGAGCCGAGCCTGGCCGAGGCCAGCCTGGCCGAGCTCGGCCTGGCCGAGCCCCGCCGAGGGCCGCGCCTCTGCCCCGACCAGTGGGGCCGCCGGGGGGCGCCGCTGCCGCAGGGCGCCGCCGGGGGGTGGTGCCGCTGTCGCAGGGCGGCCGCCGGGGGGGGGGGGGGGTGCCGCTGCCGCAGGGCGGCCGCCGAGCCGCTGCCGCAGGGCGGCCGCCGCTGCCGAAGGCTCGGCGCCCTCCGCCGGCCGAGGACAGCGCGACGGGCGGGCTGCTCCCCGAGGGCCTGCTGGGGTCCAGGTGCGGCGCCTGCAGGAGCCCTGCCCGCTCGGTCGGTCGGTCGGTCGTAGGGCAAGGGTCTTTCTCCTCCTCCTCCCCTCCTCCTCCTCCTCCTCACCTCCTCCTCCTCCCCTCGCCTTTCCTCCTCCCGCATCTCCTCCTCCCTCCTCCTCCTCCCCTTCCTCCTCCACCTCCACCTCCTCCTCCTTCCTCCTCCCCCTCCCCTCCTCCTCACTCCTCCTCCTCCTCCTCCTTCCTCCTCCTCCTCCTCCTCCTCCTCCTCCTCCCCCCAGCCTGGTGCTCTGCGTACGTGTGCCCGCTGGATCAAGCGGCTCGGGATATCCGTTCCCCATGGCTAGCGCATCCTGTGCTTCGCCGCCTCCTCTTCTGAACCTGGGTCTGAGGGCCCATGCCAATCCGTGCTCCATCTTCCATGTCCCCCTGCTCCTCCACCGCCTCCTTCTTTTCCTTTTTCCTTCTCCTCGGCCTCGGCTGGTCGGCCGGTTTGTCGTAAGGCGAGAGGGTCGATGCCTGTGCTCTGGAAGGCTGTGCAGGGCGGGGTGGTGATGGCGGCGACGATCGGGGGGGAAGGCTTGCGTATCAATGACACGCCGCCGTTGGGATCGCGTCAGGGTGTTACTCCTTCGTTCTTGCCCGAGCGCCGGGTCGTTCTTGAGCCGCAGCGCGCTGATGGGTTCCCCACGGCGGAGAGTTATTGGCATGATTCTTTTGGGAAGCTGGAACATTTGCATTACCAGTGGCGGGTTGTTTTTTCAATCCCATGACTTTTTGAGGGTTGGGGACGGCGTCGGGGTGGTGTGGTGTATACTAACGAAAAATGTATACACCCGGATCCCGTATACACCAGGATCAGCGTTTCTGGATGGCGCGACTGATCACCGAGCTTTCGCTGTATTGCTTTGTCAGCAGGCCTCGCCGAGTACGGCAGAGAAAGGGGCTGCAATGCGGGTGGGCCTCAAATCTTGGCGGCCACTGGAAACCCAGGTTGTATCATAATGGCCTGTGCGACCAGCTGCCCCAACCTGGTTGCGCAAAAGATCCGACGGAAATGGTAGTGGAAGTTGCGTCGGAATCTGGTACTAAGCGAAGCAGTGTCAATAGGCGCAAACAGTGCGACCACCCAAGAGCCGCTAAGCGCAAGGCGTGACGAGCAAGAGCCAGGAAGGCGGCACGATTTATCAACACAGATGCCGCGATCCCTGCGGCGAGAGAGACGACGCAGAACCGAAGAAGCGTTGCAACATCTACTGCTTAAGGGTTCAGGGTTTGGGGCGCTAAGAAAAGTATAGCAGATGCACACAGTTGCCGAGAGGCCGCGGAGGAGCCAGAACAGCAGCGGGGTTATGTGCAGACGGAAGGGCATCCGACAGTGCCAACATCCAATTTTCACATGAAACTCGAGTCACATAAGAAGCGTTGACAAAGACATTGAGGAAACTACAGAGCGGCAAGACAGAGGCGGATGATTGCTTGGTGGCACCTGGACACGGTGCTCTTTTCACCACCGATGCAGACACTTTTTTTTTTGAAATGTTGCGGGGTGCATTGTCGCCGCTAGAAGACAGGGGGATGGGCCAATTTCGCGTGTTGTTCAGTAAGGGGGGCCAGACTCTGCCCAAGAATTGCCGGCCAATCGCATTCCGGTGATGGCGAAGTTGTTCGGTGTTGTGTTGTTCGACATGTTCACCGCCGACATCGGCGCCAAACTCTCACGGGATCATTTTGGATTCCGACCTGCCCGCGGTCGTGCAGACGCAGTGCGCATGGCAGGCATTGTGGTCGACAGGTCTTTCGAGAATGGTGTGGGAAGCCACGCGCTGCTCCTCTGGATGTGGATAAACCTTGTTGATCGCTTTCGTCAGCCTCGCCCGACTGTCCCTGGTTTGGATTGACCTGGGTCAGTATATCCCCGAATATCGTACTCGTAGGCGACGAAACGCCGACCGCAAGAAGCTGATTGAGCCTCAACGGAGAGAATGACATTGGTCTTGCGGTCTGCGCTCTTAGAGCGGGGTCTATCTTTGCATCCCATAATATGCCAGCTGTAACGAATCAGCGACGACTTGTCGCGACGAGGGCAAGTTTTCCTCGCCGAAGGATTTGCAATCGAATTTTGCCGCCTGCAGGAATAATTCAACTTTTAGGAACAGTGTTGTCGCGGGATGACCCCATGGTGTCGGAACTTACGAATCGCATTATCGCTGGTTGAAGCAAGCTCTGGCCGATGAAGAAGTTGAGATCCAGCGGACCGTCCTCGATAACAAAGTGTTGCGCCTTTTTGACAGCACAGTCGCCGAATGCATCTTGTGGCGTCTGGGCCTTGGATACCAGTCGCGGCATGATTGAGAGCGCTTTGCGAATCACGCAACGCACAATCTTGAGGCGCATCGTCGGCGTTGTGCGACGCCGCGACGGGTCGTGGGCGAGCGGGTGCAGAAAGCGGGCTCGGAGCAATGCGTCGCAGAGGGCCGTCGTCGCGCAGGTGGATGCGGCCCCAGAGCTGCACGGTCCGTTTGTGTCCCATGAGCGTGGCGAGTGGCGCGCGCTGGCAGCTGGCGAATCGTGGCGCCACCGCCAGCAGGGTTTTGTCGCACGGGCTGCAGCGGCCAAGCTCGACTCCGGAGTCCACTCCCCGGACCCCGCCCCCGGCGGGCCACTTTGTTGGTGGGGACTGCTCCCCTGACCTTCCAGGAGGGCTAAAAAGTAGCACCAGGACCTCGATCTCTTAATTCCTGTCGAGGCTTTAGGCAGCCCAGGTGGGTCTATAGGTCTGGAGGGCCATTTTTTAGCACCCTGGAAGGGCGGGGTCCTTGCCCCCCCGAGGGCCCCGAGGGCCGCGCGAGGGCAAGATCCCGGGGCCCCTGGGCACCCGGCCCCAGGGGGCGAGAGCTCGGGAAGAGGGGAGGGCGCGAGGAGGCGAGCACAGGCGCCCTCCTCCTCGTCCTCCTCCTCCTCCTCCTCCTCCTCCTCCTCCTCCTCCTCCTACCCCCTCCTCGTCCTCCTCGTCCCCCTCCTCCCCCTCCTCCTCGTCCCCCTCCTCCCCCTTCACAATTACACAATATGAAAATACTCTCCCACTTCCCCTGATGGCGTCCCGAAGATATCCGACACCCCCCCGCGTATTGTTTTTTACACACAGGATTCCCCGGAAACGGGTTTTTGCTTGTGTTTTTTTTTTTCAAAATGCTGCTCTCGCCGAGGCGCCGGCCTCATTTTCGGGCCCCGCTCGTTCCGAATCGTGCTCCCGCTGCAGCGCTGGCCTCATTTCTGTGCTTCCGCTCGTTCCGAATCGTGCTCCCGCTGCAGCGCCGGCCTCATTTCCGCGCTTCCGCCCGTTTCGACTCGTGCTCCCGCTGCAGCGCTGGCGTCATTTCCCGTGCCATGCCACAGCACACGCGCACACACGCACACACACACACCACCACCACCACCACCACCACCACCACCACCACCACCACCACCACCACCACCACCCCACCACCCACCACCACCACCACACCACCACCACCACCACACCACCACCACCACACCACCCCCACCACCACCACCACCACCACCAACCACCACCAGAACCACCGACACCATACATCACCATCACCAGCACCAGCACCACCACCACCACCACCACCACCACCACCACCACCACCACCACCACCACCACCACCACAACCACGCCCACACGCACGCACGCGCACCACTACCCACTAGTCCGCGGATAGAGAAGATCAGCGCCATGGTAAGGGATGGTAAGGGATGGGAGGGATGGATGGGAGAAAAAAGCGCACCTAGCTTGTCCTCGTCCCCCTCCTCGTCCTCCTCGTCCCCCCCCTCCTCGTCCCCCTCCCCGTCCTCCTCGCCCTCCTCCTCCCCCCCTTTCCTGCCCCCTCCCCCCCCCCCAAGGGCGACCTGAGGGCGTGGCGCCTCTTGCTTCCTCGCCGCTTTTCTGGTCTGGACTTTTTCGAGATCGGTGCGCGGAGGGAGGGGTGGCGGCTTTCAGAATCAGACTTACGTCGGGCCTGTCCCCCATACAGGGGGATTTCGACGAAAATGAGAAATGCCCTAAAAATACCCCAGAAAGGCAAAAACATATTCAAAAAATAGTCTCCAGATGATTGTTGGATCATTTGTTGCGTTTTTTTTTTTTTTTTGTTTGTTTTTTTTTGTTGTTTGTTTTTTTTGTTTTTGTTTTTTTGTTCTATATATGTTGTGTTTTTTTTTTGTGTTATGTATATTGTGTTTAAATATATATATATATATATATGTATATATATATGTATATATATATATATATATATTTATGTTTCGTCGAAAAACCCCCCTGTAGGGGGACACGCCCGACTTAAAATCAGACCTTCGCAGCGGCTGCGCGGATGGAGGGCGGTTCTGCCACAGAGTTCGGTTCCGGCGTGGGCGCCTCGCGTATTCCTGCCCAAAGTCGTGGCAGGCCCGAGGGTGGTGGGCGGTTGGCCTTTGAAGAGGGGCGCCCGCCTAACCTCCGCGCGTGATCGTTTTTTTTTTGGGGGGGGGGGCAGCAGCCGCAGGGATGGGAGGCGGCTCTCTTTCAGCATGTGTCTCTCGCGTGGGGCTTTTGCAAGTTCTGCGGCCAGAAGGTTGGACATGTGTAACACTTGCACGGATGGAGGGCTGTGCTCCGTTTAAGCATGGTTTTGCTGTTTTAGTTTATGTTTTCTGTGTGGCCAGGATCGTAAGCATTCATGTGCGACAGTTCCGCGGAGAGGGCTGGACCGTTTCTTATTTGTTTGTTAGTTCGTTTTTCCCTTTGGATGTATATACATATGTTCACACACGTACACACATGTATATGTATATATTGTTAGGTATTTCTTTATATACATATATATATATATACATATATATGTATGAGGAAAATGAGTTTAACGGTGCCGCATGATCGCATATTCGATTGTTTGCTAGAGGGACGCAGGGGTGTTGTTTTTTTTCACAACGGGACTCTCGCCTGAACTGCAGGCCGATTTGGGTGCTCGTCTCTCAAAGGGGACGCTTCTTGTGGTGAGAAGAAAAAGCTCGAAAAGGACGGGCAAGGAGGGGGATTGAGACGGGAGGGCGTGCTGCAGCGTCGCCGATGCATCCTGCACGGCCCCCCTCCTCTTCATCCTCCTCCTCGTCGTGTCCTCTTCCTCCTCCTCCTCTTCCCCTTCCTCGCCCTCGGGGTGCAAGGCTCAGGGTGGTGCCAAAGGGCTTTGACGCAGGCCTCCCCTCCCCCTCCCCCTCCTCCTCCTCCTCCTCCTCCTCCTCCTCCTCCTCCTCCGTCCTCCTCGTCCTCCTCCTCCTCCTCCTCCTCTCCTCTCCTCCTCCTCCTCCTCCTCCCCTCTTCCTCCTCCTCCTCCTCCTCCTCCTCCTCCTCCGTCCTCTGCAGGGACCCGCCCCGGCCCGCGCGCGGCCCCCGGGGCCGCGCGCCCCCACCGCTTGAGGCATCGGCCAGTGTCAAGGGGGGCTCCCTGCTGGTCGGTGGAGAGAGCCGATGCCGATGCCTCGGAGGAGGAAAAGGTACCCATACCTCTACCCTTCGGCCGTTTTCCTCTTTTTGGGCCTCCTCGGAGGATCTCGTCGCAACCGCTGGATTCGCCTCGAAATTCTGGTCAGAACGCACCCCAGGAGAGGTCCGGAGAGTAGCGGTATCGGTACCTTTTGGTTTCTCCAATGCCGATGCCGTTCGCTCGCTCCGGTTCTCGGGGAGGCCCCCCGGGGAGCTCTCGGCGCTCTCGTCGCCGCAGCTGCCCGTCGCCCCGGGAGTTTCCTTGTCGGAGTGCACCCCGGGAGAGGTCCAGGGCAGAGCGGTGTCAGCACTTCTTTATTTATTCGTTTGCCTATTCATTTACACTTGTTTAAGTGTTTATGTTTTTTGTTGTTGTTTTAAAGTTTTAAAGTTTGAAAGTTTCTTGTTTTAAAGGTCCCCCTTCGCCCAACGGCTACGCCTGCTCCGCGGGCACAGGGTCGAGAGGAACACAGGGACACCTCCGCCGTGAGGCTCGGGGGGCGCAGGGCCCGCGGAGGTGGTGGTGGGCGTCTTCCAGGCGAGCGCAGGCATGGATCGAAGGGGGCGTGCCGTTTCCAGGAGGCGTCGCAGAGATGCCCGCCGCCGAGCGAGGCGGCAGCTCTGCCGCATCTTTGGGGAGGGCGCCTCCCCCCCGATCCATGGATCTGGCGGCGGCGCGCCCCACATCCACGGGTCGCTGATGCAAGCTTGCGCGCCCCCGAGTTTTTCTGGGCCATGCTGGACTGATCGGTGGGGCGTGAGTGGGGGTCCGCCCGGGTCCTCCTGCTGCCCCTCCTCGGGAGGAGGTGGTGCCCCCCCCCCCCCTGAGACAAGGAGTTCATGTGCCCACCGTCGAGCTCGCCTCGCCTTTTTTTCTTTCTCGTAGTGCGGCTTCAGGCGTTGGCGCCGTAGCTTTATGTCGGGCGTGTCCCCCTGCAGGGGAATTTTCGACGAAAGCAAACATTCCTTCAAAATACACCAAAAAGGCCAACAATTTTCAGAAAATAGTCCCCAGACTATTTTTGATTTTTGTTGGATTATTTTTGGGGTATTTTTTATTTTTCGTCGAAAATCCCCCTGTAGGGGGACAGGCCCGACTCAACCGTAGCTCGACGGATGGGATGTCGTCGCTGCATGTCCCGCCCGTTCAAGCAATTCAACTGGTCACATCGTGCCCGGTTAGCTGCCAGTGTCGTCGCGCTCCAGGAGGAGGAGAAGGAGGAGGGGTGGGGAGGAGGAGCGGGGACTTTATCACCCTGTGGCAAACTTGATCTTCAGCTGCCTTGTCCGAGCGCTGCGCTCAACGCACACAGGGCCTGAAGAGGTAGTGTCCGACACGTGCCGCCCTCAGAGAAGAATACATGCTCCAGGATGCCCGAAAGAGGCTTCAATAGAGGCTCCAAGTGACGCCAAGATAATCCCCAGGTCATTGCAATTGGGTTGGTCAATGCTCTGTTTCTCACCCGTGTGCGCTTAAGATCGAATCGAGGCCGCTTCAGAGGGCCCCCCAAACGACCAAAGGGCGCCCGACGGAGGTCCCAAGATAGGCCAGGGTAAGCCCAAGACGGCTCAAGAGGGCGTTGGTACGCGCCCAAGGCAGCCCAAGGGAGCTTCAATAGGCCCCCCCTGAAGGCCCCAGTACGGCGCGACGACGTCCTCAGAGAGGACTCACGGTGCTTCAAGACGCTTCAAGAGAGCCCAACAGGCTTCGGAGATGCCCCCAAGAAAGTTTCAAGGGACACCCAAGAGGTCCCCAATCTGGCCTCACATGGCGTCGATATCGGATATACCTCTTAGACAGCCAAAGAAAGTCACTCAACAGGCTTCAGGAGGGTTGTTGCGTACAAGGACGTCTGCATCACTGCTTTCCGATGTGCTCGAGTCGAGTTTGCGCATGATCGTGGCCCTGGGAGCGTGGATTCAGGTCTTCTTATT